TAAAAAAAAATTTAACAATTCACCTTTTTTTTTTTTTTTTTTTTTTTTTGCTATAGGGTGCATGTGCTCACCAGAGACACAGAGAGAGACACAGAGGGACAGAAAGCGAGAAATCGTTTCTCCTTTCTCCTCTCAGGACTCTGGGCAGGCACGCCAACCTTCCCAGCATGAGGGCTAAGCCACCAGATTGAGGATTTGAACCATGTTTGACGACGTGGAAATCCAGCATCATAACCATTATGCCATCTGACGACCCTACAGTTGTATAATCCTACCACTAACGTATTTTGCATTGACATGATCATAGAGTGAGATACCATTTGTATCGTACCTCCTGCTTGATATTTTCACATTAGCGTTTCTTTAAAGATACACAAGCACATGTTGAATGCCATCACTCTCCGGCTCATTTTATTCAGATTTAGTCTGTGAGACAGGCAGAAGGTTAGACTGAGCTTACATTGCAATGGCAGCTTCATGAGCCTGTGTGCTGACTTTTTCATTTTCTTTCTCTTTATCCTCCTGGAGTATAGACATGTGGATGAATAAAGATGAGTCTTGGAATTTCCCTCAGGACTATGACCCAGAACTGATCAAATGCGAGAAGCGGAAAGAGTTGGAGTCGGAGATAAGGCTCCAGGTATGGGCCCACCTCGTTGCCCTGACACCGAGTCACTTCCTGCACACCCTAGTGACCTGGCCCAGGACTCAAGTGGTTGTGTAAACGTCTCCAAGAAAACACAAGGCATACACAGTTGGTTAAAAGCGGTGTGTTTTGTGTTCACTTAGGTGGATGAGTTGATGAGACAGGAACTAAAAAACTTAAAACTAGCCGTGAACAGAGAAAAGGAACATCCGGTCAAAGAGAGAAGTAAGAAAGGAAGACAGGTGAGTGGTGCGTGTGCACGGCGGGGCAGGGAAGCAAATGCGAATGAAAGGAGCGCCTCCCCACACCACGGTGTGACAGCAGGGCTTCCAGCAAGACCAGTTGACTGTCACTGGGAGGCCCAGCAGGAAAACGTGTGTGCCTTCTGTGGATTTAACTGGCCCGTCATTTAGCCCTCAGGGCTTTGGGCTCATGAGGACGTTCAGTTCCACTGTCTAAGAGAAACCTCCCCCATCAGCCCCACGGATAGATGGGCTCTCTCGGAGGCACCCGGGCATGTCTCCCGGTGCCCTTCTCTGCCTGCAGGTAGGCCTATAGGGAGCCCAGTGGCAATGAGCGGGGTTTGTGAGTGGGGAAATCAGAGCAATAGGAAAGGAATGAATTTAACTTGGAGTTGCCCCACTAAACCTCACAATGGTTTAGAGTAGCTGGTTGGATCAGAGTATGTGCGGTTCATTTATTTAAGGCCCTACTTCCACCTCCATCCCAGAAGTGGCCCTGCCATTGGAGCCGGAAGCCCCACGATGGAGCGCGGAGGCCTCTCTCCGGCAGTGTTGACTGTGTGCTTCTGTCACAGCTTCTCGGCACGACAGAGCCACCCCTCCTGTGATGTGCACACTCTCCTAAGGTTCTACACGCGTTCAGCATGTTGGTGTCTAGTTCTGCCAGCTCAGGGTCCACGACATACGGTGCCTTTAGGGCAACTCTATCCTGATTTGTTTTGTATTGGTTTTACGGTTTCACTCTAAAGGCAGCTGGGTTTCCCTAGGCCTGGTCTGAAGTTACAGCGCGGTAACCTGATCTGTCGATGCCACCCGTTGGCCCCATTCTTGGCTTCTATGTCTGCCGTAACTGTGGTGCTTTGGGGACTGAACATGGAAATCGAGGAGAACAAAATGAGAAATGGAAACAGGAAGTGGCTGCACTCCTCTGGCTGAAGACAGGCTTTTGCCTTTTACCAACGAACTTACTATCAGCCTAGCCCCAGATCGGACGGGGCTTCCTCGCCCCCCTCATAACCACCCCTCTCGTATCTTTCGGTCCAAGATCTGCATCTGCCCTCACCAGGCCAGGGGTGCTGTCACAGCTCGAACACACATGGGTGTCAGGGTGCCCCAAGATGTTGATAGTAATTGTGTCACTATAGTTTTGTGCCCCCCCAAATTCCAAACAAGGTGGCCCAGATGTGGAGTTGGGAGACATAAATGGAATGTGATAGATCTCCATAAGCCAAAACACAATCAAACTGAAACTAAACCCCCGTGTGTGGGAAGACCACTAGCCTCGGGAGGATGAACACAGAAAAAGGAGTCGGGCAGAATCCGGCAGTGTTCCTCCAGCATTTTCCAGAGAAGGTGCTTTTGTCAGAAGCTGTATGGCAGCCAGTGTGGCTCTTTCCACATACAGACCCAACGTGGCCGCCACCTGCTTAGACCCCTAATCCCAGTGCCCCTGGAATAGAGAGACCGATGTTCAGCCAGGCCTACAAGGACCAGTGCCACCGGACCGCGGCCGTCTTGCCAGACTTAGTACCTGCCCGTCCAGCACAGTGTGTCCCCTCCCACCAGAGGGCTTTGTCCATGATGTTCTCTCAAGAACTCTCTTCACCCTTTTGTCCCCAATCTCAAGGCTAGTTAACTCCTGCTCACCCCTCAGGTCTCGGCCCCAGACTTTCTTCCTCCAGGAAGCCTTCTGGGCCCTCCAGAGTGAGTCTTGTCTCTCTGTGTCCTTAGAGGACTGTCCCACATCCTCCTCATGCTCCATCACAAGGCAGTGTTTTACTGCTGAGATGATTCTGCCAGTAACGCCTGCTTTCTTGACTGCGGGAGGGCCATGCACGCAGACTGCGTGACTGTCACTTCAACACTGCCTTTCAGGGGCTCGTTTTAGATCCAAAGTCACATACGCGCTGAAAATGGAAGGAGAGAAAAAGATATTCTATGCAAATGAAAGCTGAAAGAGAGCAGAGGTGGCTTGTGTATGTCAGACAAATAGATTTCAAGTCAAACTGCACAAGAGAGAAAAAAGTATTACACAAGGATAAAATGGTTAATTTAATAAGAAGATAAGACAATTATTAATATGTATGTACCCTACATCAAAACACCTAAATATGTAAAATGAATATCTACATAGATGAAGGGAGAAGTAGAAAGCAATATAGTAGTACTAAGAGTCTTCACCATACAACTTTCAAATCTGAGTAGATCATCCACACAGAAAGTCAGTAAGGAAATAGCAGCCTTGAACACTGCTCTGGACCTAGGGGGTTTAACAGACATATATGGAACACACCCAGCCGCAGCAGAACACACACTCCTCACCACCAGAATAATTTTCATGATATACCACATTCTAGATCAGACAGACAAGTCTCAACAAATTTCAGAAGATTGAAAACATCCAAGTAACTTTTCTGACCATAATAAAAGGAAGCTAGAAATCAATAACAAAAGGGATGTGGAAAAATTCACAAATATATAGAAACTAATTAGAAAATAATCTGGGGAACCAGCAGTTAGCATAATGGCTATGTCGCTGGACTCCCACGTAGTCAACCACGGTTCGCGTCCTGGACCTGGTGGCTTAAAACTCACGCCAGGCACATGTGCATGCATGCCCAGGATCCCGAGAGGAGAATGGAGAAGGGATTGCAGCATGGCCATCCCGCCTGGGGGGTGATTTCTCTCTTTCTGTCTCTATGTCTCTCTCTGTCTGTCTGGCGAGTGCATGCGCCCAATAGTGAAAATCTCTCAAAAAA